CACCCCCACCCCACTACCCAGGTTTCTCCTTGATCCCAGTCTCTGTCTCAGGCAGCCCCTTACAGGGATCCATGACAACACTGTTACAACTAGCTTGTCAAGTGCAGTGACATCTGCATTCCTGACATTCCAATCTGGAGATGGTCTTTTTATAGTCCCTTCGGTGGGAGGGTGCAGCAATGGAGGCAACGCAGACAGGATGAATTTAGAATTGCAAACTGGGTGGAATATGTTGTCCTTAATCTGAATAAAGCTCCTGTAGTCTGGGACTGTTTTCCCAACAATTCCATCAAGTCTCTCCTCGGTTCCAAGAAGAGGAGGGTTCGAAGAAAGCACACAGTGACCTCACTACCACGCCTGCCAGCACCCACTGATAATTAGCCCATCCATGTCAGACCTGCCCTGTTCTGCCTTCAGTGATGGACAGTAATTTGGAATCCACCCCAAAGAATCAGCTGCATCAGCGGCAGAGTTTCTGAGGACTGCGGGTAAGTTAGGGATTGGGGCCCCCGCTGCCTACAGACTTGGTAATTAAAAAGCTCCTGACAAGAGGAGCAGCCTCAGCTCTCCTCTCCATCTCTGTGGTTGGGCGTCTTAGAGGAATGAACGTCAGCCTCTTTACCCAGATTCATCTGCCAAACCTGTTTTTTCACTTTCACTGAGCCTCCATGGGGCAACCTGGCAGCTTGACCGTTCAGTGTTCAACGGTAGGGCCCTCTGTGATGGAAAAACCTGATACTGAAGCTTCCCACCTTAAGTCATTATTTTCAATATACCTTAAAAAGGTAATAGGGAAAACTGTTTTAATAAAACATTTCTAACCCCAGGATTATATGGCCACCACAATCAGTGCTGACGGGAGACCATAAACCACGGACCACGTGACAGCTCTGCTCTTCACAACAGAAACCCTTTTGCTCCCGTCTGCTACTGTCAGTGGCATCTCTTTTAGCTCTGACCCTGCGAGCTCAAGGCTGCCCAAGTTGGATGCCCCACCACCACCTTAGCTACAAGGTCCTCCATGATGCACAAATCACATAAAACTAAGGGATGCTCACATCGACCCCTCATCCTTCTGGCTGGATCAAACTGAGCCAGCTCCTTCTCCACATAGTACAGGACCTTCATGGAGTCTCTCTCCTTGTCAGCTTGGATCCGGTAGCCTTTGCGAACTGTTGAGAAAGCACAAGAAGGTGAGCTAAAAAGAAGAAGAAGAAAATAAAGAAAACATCAGAAAAAGGAGGCCTCTGGTTTTACCAAGAGGGAAGCGTGGTTCCTAATTATAAAAACTCCTTTTGAAATCACCCAGAAATCACCTGTCTTATACACATGGGACCATACCTGAGATACCCTCTATTCGGAATGCCATGGCAACAGAGAGCCTGAATGTCAATAAAAAACTCCGTTATGGTACAGTCACTTGATAGCCCCTGCTTCCTGTCTTCTGACCTCCTACCACTCCACTGAATGCTCATCTTCTCAAAGCTTTGGAGCTCCATGGGAGGGGTACATTCACACTAAAAAAAAGACCACTTCTTACATGGAGGACACATGTCACCCCACAGTCAGAGGTCCACACCTTCACTTGGTGGGATCACAAGTCCCTTTAAAACAGATACCTAAACATCAGGGACCTTTGAGAGAGGTGGCCTAAAAGACTCTAGTTGCCTAGGAGATAGTGCAAAAATTCCTTAAACTGGGTGGTACCTAAGAGCTAGTATTAGATTCTAGACTTCATACACAGTAGTACAAAACAAGATGCAAAACACATGGATTTCTAACCATGGTTCCATTTTATTTCTTTAGTATTTTCTTTTTTTAAAAAAAGGAATATATTTTAAACATGATTAATTCAACCTGCTGCTATATGGTTACAAGCAGATGTTACTTTCAGGGCTTTTAAAAAAAAAAGCCTAAAGCAGGGGAGATAATACCATCTCTTACACCCCCATCACTTACATATGAGTCTTGGGGCCAGCCCCAAGGGTGACCAGACATCAGGAGGCCTACAGTACAGGTAACAGAAAGGAAAACAATGAAAGAAAGGAATGATGGAACGGGGATGGAACTATAATGGTAATCAGGCATTTATTAAACACTGAAAATGTGCTAGGTCCTGTGCTAGACGTTTACATTTGAATTTGTCCCTCGAAACCACTTGAGGAAGGAAGTTCTGTTATCAGTTCCATTTCATGGCTGAGAAAACTTAGGATCAGAGGAACTGTCATATTTTGTCTGCAAATAATTTGGCAGTGCCAGGGTTGGAAGCACGTAGTCTGACGGACTGATGCTTCACTGTATTGGGCCACCTTGCCTCTCACTGTCTAGGATGAGACACAGTTTTAAAAAAAAAAAAAAAAAAAAAAAAAAAAAAAAAAAAAAAAAAAAAAAAAAAAAGATGAAGAAGACAAATAAGCAAAGCCCAGAGTAGAAAATGCCCATAGATCTGCAGCAGGGGGTTGTACAGTCTGCAGCAGGGTCCTGACCTTAGCCAGAAGGACTGTACCATGGGATGGAGTACGTAGCCCAGGCCCAACTCTCCCTGTTACCCGTGAAGCAAAAATTATAAGGAAAACACATGACTGCATGCACACCAGTGGGCAAAGCCCTCCTTAGCCATTTACGTGGAAGATTAAAATATAAAATTCCACAGCGCACTAATCACAGCCCAGGCGCTGAAGACAGAAGTCGCCCACACACACATTTGCAGGTGCACCGGCTTTCTATATGAGCACATCCTGGGCAGTCCACATCCATCTCAAACTGGGAAATGACTTAGAAAAACATTAACAGATCTCAGCACATGCTTTTTAGTGGCACCTTCTCCCAGAGGTTAGATCCATAATCCTTAGGCGGAAGCAGTTATTAGCAGAAATAATTTTATTTATCAAGCTCTTCTCTGAAGAGGCGTTTACACAGTAGTACAGACAGTTCAATTAAAATGCAATTATCCCACATAACTGCTATGTCTGTACCAAGGCAGTTACGTCTAACAGATGAGACGGGACTGGGAAATGGGGAACTGGGCATCTTGGGGTCATGCTGCCACCAGTTTACTGAGAGACCTCAATAAATGATGACCTGTCGGGACTCAGTTTTCCTGTCTATGAAATGCAACTGATATTTGCTACACTTTAAATAATCTCTTAAAGAAGAGAGGACTGATTAGACCAAAGCAGGGAAGCATTTGGAGTTAACTGTAATTATTCAGGACAGCTCAAACACAGCCTTATCCTCAGAAGGTTTACCTCAATTTTCACAGCTGGAAAAGATCTATCTTTCTGTTGTGATCTTTTTCCTCATCTACAGTCATTTATTTTGAACTTTTATTATGGGCCTTAATATATTCTAGTTTCAAGTTATTTGGATAAAGATCTGATATCAAAAATTGCTAAAAGAAAAGAATATCATTCAGGATCTCCGTGTGCCTAGGAAACAGTAGAACCTTAATATACATTGAATTACTGCCAGTGGGGGAATGCAGGAGGGTTATAATTTCTTGGAAGGAGTATTTTCAGTACAGTGTCCATCTGCAGAGTTAAAACTTCATGAAGATGCTTTACCTCCATACCACTAGCACCTAGCATAGAGCCTGGCACATTGTAGACATTCAAAACTTGTGTCCAAATGAATGAATGAAAGCACGAATGAATGAGTAAAGGGAAACTAGGAACAGAAACGGTATTTCATGGATTATAAAGTAAGGCATGTGCATCCATGTGAGCGCTTTACTGAAGAATTTTGATCAGGAAGGGAAAGACTTGATCAGGAAAGGAAAGACCTGATCAGGAAAGGTACGTTTTGAAGTTATTATTATTGATGATTATTTCCTAAGCAAAGAACACTAGCATGTATGTAGGATGAGGGAGGGGGCCTACTCTACGTGCAGCAGCGGCTGTATCTAGGTTTTCTTAATATGTGAAACACTTTGAGGGTAAGCCTCCAGGGACTCCGAGATAAAGATCATGGGAGGAAGGGTTGTTGCAATATGGGACTATGCACCAGTTGTCCCCTGGCGGAGAGAGGGCAGCTGCACTGAACAACAGCTGGAGCATTCTCAGTTAATTGCCACGTGGCCTGGAGCTTAGATTGTTTTCCATGTCATTATGAAAAAATTACACTGCTCTTTATGATACAGATTTGATTGTGTGCACAGGGTTATCAGGTCTGTGAAGAGTCACAGCAGCCACAGCCTCAAATGATGATAATAGTTTTACCTTTCCATAATGCATTATAAGGAGACACCCCTTTACTAAATACTTTCAGCTTTGGCTTCTCAGTCACAGCAGCCCATGACTTCAGAAATTTAAATTAAGTCAAACTTGTCAAAAAGCAAAAGACAGAGGCAAAGTACTGACCATTAAACTTTAGGGGTATTATCCATCTGGTTTCAGTAACTACAATTCCAAGTAATCCTCCCTTTAAAAAGTGTAGGCTTTTCCCCCCTTAATGGTAAGCTGAGAATTTGCACGACACGCTAAATTATTCTCTCATCCTGGCAGAATCTGGGCCTGTGTCACATATGTGCTTCAGAGTATATGAATCACCAGAAAAAAAACCTTTCCTGATCCCTTCTCTCCAAAGGCAAGATTCTCCTTTCTGATCCTGCACCACAGAATAATCTTATCATATACTTCCTTGGCTTTCTTATTCATTCTATTTCCATTCACAAGCCCCCAGCGATCACCCCGCTAGACTGTAAATTCCTGGAGGGCAGGGAAAATTTGTAGGCATTCATTATATGCTCCTTGACTTAAAAACACACAGGATGGCATCAGATTGATGTTTTTTCTGTACTTTGAAGATCAGAGAGCTCTCTGATGTGTGGTGATATTTTAATAAGAAATGTTCTAGACGATTGGCCAAAGTCCAGCATATTTGGAAAATGACTTTTTTGCTAGTGATGTTTCCGTTTGGGGTCGATGGATGATCTATTTCTGTTTTCAAGCTTGGTCTGGTTCAAGTTCTTTGGCTGCTGAGGCTCTTCATACTCCAGCTCCTCCTCTTAGTGGCCCCGCCTAGTTGGACTTTCCTACAGAGAGAGAATAGGGCCTATTCCCTATGACACCAAACTCTCATTTTTAAAACTCTTAATGTTAGCTCTGATCTGATACTTTTGACCCATTTAAGGTGCAAGTATTTTTCAGCTAATTCCCCCTTTTCAGCCAGCCAAAATCCAACTTGCAAAAGAAATCTCTGAGATAGACTTCTGTTGATAGAGCCTTGTTCCTCCTGTCCTCTCTTAATGAGCTAAGCAAGGCTGTTTATGGATAAGGGAACAGCGCCAGATTCCACCCTCAGGGTGACAGCAGCTCCATTGTGGGAGAAGTGATTCTTAAAATTTGCATATTCTCTGTACATATACAGTAGGGATACATACACACATACCATTAATTTTGAAAATGATATTTCAAAACCCTACTCATCTACTCAATTCTTTTGAAAGATGAGTGGAAGTCAGGTAGATGAAAGTGAAATGGATTCGAGTAAGGCACAAGCAGAGATGGAAAGAGCAGCTAGGAGACAACTGCACTAAGCAAATTAGAAGCACAGACTAGGACTGTAGCAGAGACAGAAGAAAGGAACCCAATTCCAGGTTATTCTGAGGTACAATCGGAAGGACTGGAGACCATTTGAATGAGGGAAGGGAAAGCTAGGGAAAGGATAAGAATGAAGACCTTGCTTCTGGTCTGAGCCAGGAGGCCAACAATGATGCCATCCATGGATATAAGATATGTAGAATCTGGGGCCGGGGATTTAACTCAGTGGTGCTACCACCTCCCTCGCAAGCACAAGGTCCTGAGTTCAATCCCCAGTACCCGAAAAAAGATACGTAGAATCTGGTTCAACATGGAGAAGCAGCATATTAATTCCATTTCCTAGAGGCTGAGATTTAAATGATTATAAGACACCCAGTGAAGATGTCCAGAGGCAGCTGAATACAGGGACTGAGGGGCAGAAAAGAGGCTGGAGATACTAACTGGGAGACATCATCATGTAAGTACAAGGATGACTGAAAAATAATATGAATGTTTACATTTAAATGTATTACAAAGCCAGGTGTGGTAGTGCATGCCCATAATTCCAGCACTCAGGAGGATAAAGCAGGAGAAATGCAGTGAGTTTGAGGCCAGCCCACACTACGTAGTGAGTTCAAGGCCAGGCTAAACTACGTAGCAAGACTCTGTCTCAAAAACAAGTTATAGCGTAAAAGACACATTACCATTTACTCCACAAAATATTTCTCTTCACTTCTAACACACTTATCCCATTGTTCTTGCCACTTTCTGAAGCAGTTTTGGAATTCACCTCTAGGAAGTTTGATTAAAAATGTAAATGCTGTGCTGAGCGCCATCCAATGGAAAGGCAAACTCATAAAAACATTACAGTGTGTCCTCAGCCACCTTATTTATCAGATCTGGCACCATATGACTTCTGGCTCTTTCCCAAAGTCAAAATGACCAAGAAAGACAAATGTTTTTAATCGATTCAAGACATCAAGGCAGCTAGTTCAGAGCAACGAAAGACAATCAAGAAAAGAGACTTTCAGAACGGCTTTAGAAAATGGCAAAAACAATGGGAAAAGGGTGTTAGAACCTAGAGGGAGTATTTTGAGTGGGATTAATGACAATGTGTCTTTTAATGTAATAATATTTAAAAATTTAAACATATACCATATTTTTCCATCATACTTTGTAGAAGAGGACAGAAGCTATGGGAGTAGGTAGAATGTCCCAGGGAGGAGACTACAGACCAAACAGGAACACAAGTACCTGAAAGACACAGAAAAAGAACAGCCAGCCTATAAAGAGACAGACAGAAAGACTTCAAGTATAAAAAAGGCCAGGAAAGATGATTGGAGCAGGGGTGGCAAATGCTTCTGAGAAGTCACAGGAAGTCAAAAGCATCCATTTGATCCAGCAATCAGGCAACCTGGGCAGGAGCTGGTATCTGGAGCCCTGATAGCAACAGCAAGATGGAAGTTAGTTGAGTTGGTGAGAGCTGAGGAAATAGAGACATTAAATACTCAAAACTCTTTCAAAGAATTTGGCTGTGAAGGGGGGAAAGGGTCAGGGAGGCAACATCAGAAGACTTCGGAACTTTTTGCAGATTGTTGTGGTATTTTATTTTCTTTTTTGTTGTATTTTAGTGGGTAAGATTTGAGCATGTTTTGAATGGTGATAAGAAAGAGTTTATTAGAGAAGGGAAAGTTGAAGATATGAGGTAGGAATGGGGTAAAATATGGACACTGAATAAACAGAGAACCTTGACAAAGTTAAAGGTGATGGACCCAAAGCAAGACAGGAGGAGAGTGTCTTCCTTCATTGTAACAAAGAAGGTCTCAAGTAACTGCTGTGAAGAATGGAAGAATGAATCAGGGGCCTCTCCGCCCCCAACCATTCGTAAATAAGTGATTATGCTATACATAGCGCATCAAAGATGCCTTTTTAAACTACACAGTGTTCAAAGAGTATTGTGTCCCAATGTAATCTGAAAAAAATCACTGTTGCTAGATGAGTACCCTAAAATTAAAGTAGCATATAAATATTAAATATAAAAAGGCTAAATTTACCTCTATAAACATCAGAATGTCTTAACATTTTTAACGTTCTTGACAGAATAGTCTATGGTGGCCTAAGCCAATTTTTTAAATAGGAGATTAGCCAAATGCCATAAAAAATGCTGCCCAGGTGACCATGAGTACAGAACTTGCCAGTGGAGATCCTGAAGAGCCTTCCCTGACTCCATAGACAGAAAATCAGATATGGGTCAGACCAGCTGTGGTAGACTCCGGTCGCCATTTTTCCGGTTTCTTGGCTAACAGTACCCTGACTGTGCTCACCTCTAAGGCAAATAGTTGCCCAGATTTAAGAGGTGAGTCTTGATTAGTTCAGAGCCCCCTGATTTAGGAATGGGCATGGGACACAATTCTTGTCAGTAAAACTGCAAGAACCCTGTAGGATGGGGGAGGAACTCCTGGAAAACTCTTCCCTCCCTCGTGGGGAAAGTAGCACAAAGATGTAGCGTGTTTTCTAAATGTGAAAACATTTAGCATCTAGAAGTCCTGTAGTCGTCAAGGGATCACAAGAGGGCCATCGCAGAAGGATAGAGGAGGCACTCAGGGTGACAGCACAAGGGTGAAAAGACTGAGGTCCTGCAACAGTGCCACCGAACTGTTCTTTCAGCCAGCCCTAGATCAACCTTACTTTGCAATTTCTTCCTACGTGAAATAAAACATTTTGCTCTTTTCAAAGCCACTTCCAGTTGCAGTTGGCGAATATGGCAGGATGGGGCTAAAATGACTAAGCTGCAACAAACAGAAACTGAGAAAAGGTTGAAAACAGGAAACAGCAAGTACTTGCTATCCTTCAAATAAGAATCATTTTATTATGAGAATTCACACTTAATAAAAAAATAATACATAATACATTTTGCTAGGAAGGAAGGAAAAGGAAGAGTAGGGAAAGGAGCAAAGAAACACTATGTGGCTTCATTAACGTCTCTTTTGCCCACATTATCCTTTGGGAAAGGACTATCCTGGCTTTTTCTTTCTAATTCGCTGCCTGTCCTTGATCATTAACTTTTACTTCTCAGCTTGTGACTCATTCCAACTCTCAGACGTCAGAATTCTACTAATAGTTTCAGGAGGAGAAAAACATAAATACCAGTTAGTCACTGAGGATAACCACACCCTCCGCTCTCAGGTCCTGGTGGACCCTTAAGTGAGCTGGACCCTTCTCTCTCTCACTGAAGTCCAAATCCTTCCAAGCTGTTCCACCAGACCTAGTGGCCCATCCCCATCTAGGGATTCTGGTACTGGGGATCGAACTCGGGACCTTGCACTTGCAAAGCACATAGCAGAACCACTGAGCTAAATCCCCAGCCCCCGCTCTAGGGATTTAAACACCACCTTCTGAATCTACGACCCATACAATCTTCACCTCCACTATGCTATAATCCTGCTCAGATGCCCCACACTTTAATGCCCCTCTACCTCCATTCCTAATCCTTATCCAGATCAGCTCTCCTTAGCAATATATCCCTCCTGTCTGTGATCCGCAGCACTAGAGAGCTTGGAGTCATCGCAAAGCCTGCTCCCTTTCCTTCCTTCTCTCACATCTCCTTGCTCCTCTCACACCACCTCTGAGATTTGCCCAAGTGCTTGCCCCACTCTCTCCGTCGTGAGCCAGACGGTTACAGCTGAACCACACCCATCAGATCTCAGCTCCTGCTCTCAGCCTCCCTCTCTCCCACTCACGCACCACTCAGCTGTCATCCTGCCCTCTCTCCGCCCAGGCATCTGCCTGAAGGGGCTTTCGGCCGCTCACCCCACGAAGGCCCACATCTTCCGCGGGGTTCCACAGCTGTCTTCCAGCCGGATCCACCACATCCGTCTGTCTTCTCCCAGCCCTTCTGACGAGGTGGTCACTATCAAAGGCTCACACTGAGATCTTCCAGGCGCAGTGTTTCACTGCACTGGCCTTCCTTTTTGGAGACGCTCAACATTTCTCCCTTTTCCTAAGTCTTAACTCCTTTCTTGAGGCTCAGCCCGAATTTCTCTGCCTCCTTGTAACCACTCCATCATCTTTGAATTCCTAGTACCATACTCTTCAGCTTCTAATTGTCTTAAAAATCCATTCTCTCTCCCTGGCTAGACCATGCTGCTTGTTAGAGAACCCATATCTGACCCATCCTGCTGTCCCACACAGTACCTAGTAGTCCTGAACATGAGGTAGAGGTGAGCTAACTGACCAATGATCAACATTCAAGAAGCAGCTGGCACTTTTCCCATAGTTTTAGTTACTGAGGGGCCTGGAAAGGAAGCAGGGAACAGCAGTGTCCCTCGGCCCTCGCCAACCCTAAAATGAACTGCAAAGATACAAGTACACAGCCTCTGGAATGAAGATCATCATTTCCCAAAGACATATCACTAAAGCGACTGTGCTCATCAACAAGGAACCAGTGTGGGGCCGGAGACAAGCACAGGGCAGGGTCTGGAATTCCATTTACCACTGTGGCTTCCTCCAGTAGAGTCACTTGGTGCCAAGGGAGGTGGATGCGGCTTGTCCATCAGCATGCCCGATGAGGGGGCTCCTCCCAAAGGGACAGAGGGGATGGAGTAAGGGCCAGGGACACCGGAGACAGAGGGAGGGTACCCGGCCTTGGCTGCCTTCCCTGCTTCATACACTGTGGAGGGAGATGAAGAGCAAGAGAGATTATATTGTCCCACCCTCCACAACCCTCGACCAAACCCCCCCGAGGAAGTGCTCAGGGGGGCTCCTGGGCATGTGTGTGCTCTCCAGGACTGCATGGATTCTCCCTAGGCCTCCTCCAGCTCCAGCAAAAAGGCAGTGACATAGGACTTGCGGGATTTGGCGCCTGGTGACTGGCTAATTGCGTGGTTCTGGGAGCTGTCACTGCAGCATCCCCAGTGACAGCAGCAGCCCACTCTTACTCACACTGTACGTGGGTGGCCTCCACCCCTCCAGAGCAGCCTTGTACAAGGGCTGCCCAGGGCTGCTTCCGGGAGGATCCGGGGCCTTTTCTGGGGGAGGACGGCAAGCAGCAGGCTTGCATATGGCCCCTGCCCTCTGGTTTCAAAATTCCTCCTAACACTGCTTTATTGTTAGAGTATACAGTGTGCCTCTCTCTTCCAAGACTGACTGATGGGAAGAGTGCCACACTTACTGCCTATCTGGGTTTGGTGAGTAAGGTGAAGCTGAATCCTCAAAGAAGGATGAGTTCCGGTTGTGGCCCACTTCATCACAGGAATAAATAAAGCCATCAGTGTCTGCTGGATGGTGCCCAAAGGCCAACGTTCCCACACTGCTTATATCCGAAGATATTCTCTGCATGCGAGTGGAGGTTTCCTAGTTTGGATGCCCCAACAAGAAGAGACATCCTTGTCCCACGACCCCACTGTCCTGGACCTGCCTTCCTTTCAGCAGTAAAGCCTATGAGAATTCTGAACGCATGGAGTGATTGTGTGGATAAAAAGCATGGAGATGTGCACGTAGGTGAGGAAGAAAGCAAGATGGTCATCCCGGAAGCCAGGAGCTAGAGCAGAGGGGAGGGTCTGGAATGACCAACGTTTGGGGTGGAAGAAAAGGAAGTGAAGTAGGAACTCAGGGTAAATGGCTGTCAGGTCTCGGAGAGGTGACATTTCTTCTGGTCACTCCACATCCCCACTGGATCTTTCTTTACTCACAGGCCTGAGGGCAGCAACAGGAGTCTGGGCAGCACGGACAACGGACGTAGCAGCAGCAGCTGTGAGGGCAACACTGGCACCAGCAGATCCCCACGAGGACGAAGAAGAGGAAGACTCCCAGGAGCACCAGGCCAACAAACACCCACTCTGGAAGGGCGGACAGAGAAATGCACACTCGAGGTGGCCCACCTTCGGAACAGGGCACAGTCTGACGTTTGTCCCCCTAGGAAAGGAGGTGGGGATGGCCAGGGGGAGAAAGCAGGTCTTCCCAGGGAACAGAGCCCCCAAACACAAGAGGAGCTCTGAGCATGAGAAGTACCTGAGCACTTTGGAGAAGTGGGGAAGAGGGAAGAAGGTTGCCTGGATCTCACACTGAGCTCACAAACGGACCAGCACAAAGCAAGGGGGTGGGGGTCAGGGCCCCTTACTGGGAAAGGCTTTACCAAATGGATTGTGGTATCAGAACAGGATGGGACGAGAGCAGAAAACCCCTGGGGATGGTGGGAGAGACTCTACCTGCTGGGTTGTGAAGTGGTAGTCTCTGAGCATACCTACCTTTTATAGTCAAGTTGATCTTGCCTATTAAGTGTAAATCCTGAAAATAAAGGGGGGCCTCTATGTCTAGATGAGACCATCATCGGTGGTCTAGGCCCGTCCACATTTATCTGCCTTCCTCACTAATCAAAGCTTTTCTGTTCTCAGCACCGGGACTGAGATCCAAATCTCTTGTTTACACCTGGACAGCAAGCTATGCGTGGCTTTAGAAAATTGGAGACACGGACTCACAGAGAAGACACTTTCCCGAGCCCCAGAGAATGGGTGTGGTATGAACTCACGCGAGCTACTACACAGCCAGCCCAAGCTGTGGGCCAGAGCTGTGATGAATCGTTACACAAATGACATGTATGTTGCTGATTCTGTTTAACTTGTGCTATTTTCACAGCTCTGCCAGAGGCTGAACGGGAATTGGATTTCATTTGCCCACTCAAAAGACTAAGAGAAAGGCAACACATCTTATTTGGCTTAGATAAAAATGACTGTGGCCCTCAGGTGAATTGTCTCAATGTCATACACTGGGGCATGGCTGTGGACTCAGGCAGACTGATTGCAGGGAGCTATGCTTTCCTTTAAAAGCCAAAAGACTAAACGATTCTCTTTGGTTAAAGCCATCTGTCAAAAAGCCCCTTAAAATGATCTTCAAGCACACTTAAATTTTTTTTCTCTTTTGGTTATTAAATCTTCTTTCGATTAAATGGACATTCATTTGGGAGCTTTAAAATATAACATTTTTGGGGCTGGGGATTTAGCTCAGTGGTTCTGCTGCTTGCCTTGCAAGCGCAAGGTCTCGAGTTCAATCCCCAGTACAAAAAAAAAAAGACATTTTTGTTATCACAAAAGGTTTTGTGATCATGTTAAATCATTTGACCTTTGGTTAGAACATAATTTCCTCAGAGAGGAAGAAAACAAATATGACCCCAGAATGTCCCTCCTCACTTATCCATAAGATACATTCAAATTAAGCAGGTCAGCCTCTCTTCAGTAAGGAACTAAGCAGACTTTGTAACTGGCTTGGATGGTCTTGAGATCATTCTTGTTCAGGACAATAGACAGCAGAAGGCTTTGGTCCAGGCCTTAGCAACAATATAACACAACATAGCTTGAGACAGCTAGGAATTTGGAGGGCTTTTTTGTTTTGTTTTGCTAGTTTTGTACTGGGATTTAACCCAGGACTTTGGCATATTTTGGTTTATTTAAAAAGCAAAAGAATATTATCTGCTAAAGGATTCCTGGAGTCAAAGGGAGGGAAATTCAGGTGGATAGGACCAGATATGAAAAATACAGTAACTTGTTCATGGAACCAGGAGATGTAACTTCTGGTTTGAAACATCATAATGTAACACTGGGCCTTTGCGACGTTCTGGTTTGCCAGAAAATAGTTACAAATTAAGTGAACTTTTGATAAGGGGGATTACAAAGAGCTATCCATTTGTGTCCTTGGGTCAGCAATAAAAAATGTCTGTGTTAGGGTTAGCCAGCTAATGGGAAAGAGCTAGAAGAATGCATGTAAGAATGAGTAGTAAGGTTCAACGGCGAAGATTCTGGTGAATCAAGTCAAAACCAATGGCCAGGAATATTTTGTATCTCTCTAGTGCTATTAGGAAGCTCTTAAAATCCCGGCAGAAATTCTGCGAAATAAGACTGAAGTGCATCCTCTTTGAATCCTTGTGTTTAGCCATGTCTTCCCCACTGTTCATTCTTGCTTAGGCTGATGCATTCACCTGAAGCCACATCAAAAGATAGAGATGTGTATCTGGGGCAGGTGTGCCTGACATATTGTCCATGGGCCCCAAAGGGACTCAGGGTTTCACTAAGTTGTCCAGACTGGGCTCAAACATGTGATCCTCCTGCCTCAGCCTCCCACAGTTCGGTGATTACAGGGATGTGCCACCCCATCCCCAGTGTGTACTTTTCAAGGGTGGAGGAGTACACATCTTTCCTATGGTTTGAAAAAGATGTTTAATAATGTTACAAGAGGCAATTCAGAATAACACGACTGGGTAATAACCAATGGGCAAACATGAAAATAATGACTTTAAGAATCTTCAAAGCTCTCTGGGTACAGTTGAAATACTGAGGCGGGCATGGAGACTGCCAAGATTCTCGACACTGAAGGACTAGGTCTCCATCTCAGCCCAAGTTTAATTATCATCATCTCATGGCCTAAGAACAGAAGGAATACAATTTAAAGCTTTTCCAATGGGCTTAGTTCATCCTCCAAAAGATCACAGATATATATAGAGACAAATATGCAAATAAATTAAATAAGAAATTAGTCACTAATGCAAAAGCGAGACAGAAGGAATGATAGCAAATAAAGAGTTAAATGACCGAATACCTGGCATAATCTCCACAGCAAAACTGGGCAAGAGATCAGCAAGCAGCCCTGTCCTGCCTAGAAGAAGTGGAAGGAAAAGAAGAAGGAAAGAGGTTACTCCAAGGGAAAATGCAGCCTGAAACATGGCTCCCACTGGTACCACCCTGTGTGGGGCGATTGGGCCATGCTCAGTGGGGTATGAGAGGTACCTCACCAAGGCTGAGCTCCGTCCAAGACAATGACTTTCTCTATCAATCTTTGGCAGCCGTCTAAGTGGGGTCTGCACCTAAACTAAGCGGAAGCAGACACGGCACAATCTCTCCAACTGTTTACAGGAAGAGGAAATCTGTTTCCATATGAAAAACTCTGCCTGAGCAGATTGACATACAGCACCTCCATTCATTTATGCACCCTTCTCCATACACTGCATTGCAAGTCAAACCCATCTGTATCCAAACGTTCTGTCTACATTTTCATACATCCATACACAGACCTATGTCCATATAAAAACAAAAGTACATATTTGGTTTTAACTCAGAATTATCTTGCTACATGATTCTATTTATGGCCTAAAGATATTTCAATGATTAAAACTCTCAATGGCAAGGCAAGGATAAAGCTAGATCAGTTACACACTCCTCTACACTCCTTCTGGCTTCAGAAATACTCTCTACATATGTATATGGTATGGTTTTTCCATATGGCGCCCACAGCTGGCACTGTATGTACCCGAGTGCCTTCTGCGTGATATGGCATAGAAACTTAAAGCTGGTGTCAGAACAGGTGCCCCTCAGAGGTTCTGGGAGGCAAAGAGCTTTGCAGGAAACAAGGCACTGGGGGATGTGAGAGAGGAGATCAATCATTCTAAACACTGGCCTGATTTATAGAAAAATGTTCGGATCCCTTCACCATATTCTCTTATGAAGGTAAACATAAACACCTGTTATGCTATCTCTACCACACTGAATGAAGCCTTACTAATAAACTAGCAAATTCCACTAGGAAACCACTGGCAAACTTCCCTCCTTTCAATGGAAGTACAGTGAAAGCAATATGGGTAATTTTAACTAGGAATTACATTAAGAAAGTAAAGGGAAACACAAGATTAATTTAATACTATTTTTACTTTACCAAAATCAACAAGATTTTATCATCTCAAGGGCTCAGTAAGCACACATAGCTATTGGACAGCACTGCACCAGGGCCTATGAATTGGCTGCTTTATATCATCACTGACACCGGTCTAATTGACTATTTGGACCACAGAACACCCAGAGATGTTCAAAACATTGGCAGTCTTGAAAGTGCCAGAGAGCAAACAAAAGCAACACTTTTCATTTAACCAGATACAAGAGATATATTTAGAAGTATTCTTGTCCAGATTGGAGAAAATACAACAAAAGTGCACAATTTACATTTTCATACAGCCATTCATAGTCTTATTTCCATATAAAAGCAAAATCCATATGTATATATTTAGCTCATTTAGAGATCACTACTTCCTGTTAAAGTTTGTGGAGGTACAATGAGAAAAAGTTACCCTTGTATGGTTTATAAGGACCAGGGCTGGTCACTGGTCTCTCCTCTACAAGGCACCCCCAGAGAAGAAGCTCTGATGAAGTTCAAAAGAACAAGGACACCTCCAGGACACTAAGGAGGATGCCGTAGCTGGGGTGAGAACTTAGAGTGGGATAAAGGAGATCTTTGCTCATTTTACCTTTTCCAAGCTCTCCTCATCTATAGGAGGCTCAATGGTAATATGTCTCCTGCATGGTCCACACATGGAAAGCTAAGAATGTATTCCAAGACCAAGGGGTAGTGACCCAGCCCAGCTCCGCTGCTCATAAGGAGGACAAATGCGAGCCAAGTAAGGCACTGGAGGAAGGTGTCCGGAGGTTACTCCAACTGGCCTTTGGTCTGAGCCTTCACAAGAGGCTAAGAGGCACCCTCAAGGCTCACAAAGTCCCCTACAGTAGGACACTGGATGAGGGTTTGAGATCAAAGTCTGAGCATGTGATTAGGAACATGCATTGGACTCACCCAGAGCCCTCTCTAAAAATATCTCTTCAAAACTCAGCGAGGCAATACACAGCCGATCAAAGATTTGGGAATGTGTGGCAGTTTAGGGCAGGTCTGTCATTAACCTCCTTGTTGACTGGTGCAGACAAATTACTTCCTTTTACTAAGTCTCTGTTTTCTCATTGGAAGAGAGAAGAGATTGAATGTGATATTAAACATGGAGAGCACATATCTTGGTTTGTCTGGGACGGTCCTGGTTTAGGCCTGTGGTCCTGGTGTGATTATTCCTAGCACCCCTTTTTACTTTCAAAGCATCCTAGTTTAGACAATTGATTATATGGTAACTGTATCTAAGTAACTGTAGTTACCCAATTATCAAATTGTGATTTGGCTTAGTGATTAGAGCTGCAGATGTTGATAGGGTCAGGCAGGTGATGCAAATGAGTATAGCCGGTCAGTTTTAAGCCAACAGGGAACAGCTGGGGTGTGGAAAATGGCAGTGTGGTTACAGGGCTGCTACTGCTCCTCTGTAACCAACTACTGCCTGGGGAAGTGTCTTCAGGATTCCACATCATCCGGTTAGTCAAGAGTCATCAGACCTCATGTTTTATGTTACTCTGATTTTCAAATACTGACAACTAGTTCATATGTGTATGTATGTGTGTGTGTGTGCATGTGTGTGTATATACATACATATATATATATACATATATATATA